CTATATTAAAATCTTAACAAATAATCTTCCAACAATGCAAAATCTCAATATTCACTATCCAAATCTATATACAACAATCAAATGTTGTAAATGTCTCCTAACCAAAGACTTTCTTTATATACTTCTGTGCTTCAAAAATACTGAAAGCATTCAACAATCACTTATTAATATAACTACTAATACATTCTAACAACTCCAAATTGTATCTATCCAGCCTATTACACTTCTTAATACTCTTTTACTACCAACAAACAACTCTTCTAATACACAATACAACTCTTTTATCCTTACAATTCTTGGAATATATTCCAAAACAATGTATCAAAATACTAAAACTCTAATTAAAAAACAAACAGAACCTATACTTATTAATCTCTCTAATAACCTTCTATACTGGTTCTACTATGATATATAGTCCAAACGCAACTCTTTTCAACATTAATAGGAAATAGCCCAAAACATTACATTTAAAACCAAATGCATTAAATTCGTTACACCTCTATCTACTAACCTAACAACTCTCCATAAACCTTTTTTACAACCAATAGACCCATGCAATGCTATCGAAAAATGGTACTTACAAGGCTTTCCCCTAACAACATGCTTCTTATAATGTCATGATTAACACCTTAAGGTTTTCTCCAATCTATCCTAGCTAGAATTACTTTATTTATTTAAATTAATAATAGTATTAAATAGAGAATAGAAGGTGTAATGTCACATTGGGTGCTCTGTAGCACAAATGTAGTTAGAAATCTTTACCATAGAAAATTTTTCTTTTCTAAAACTATATCCTCTTTTTATTAGCTAGTACTGAGTTGAAGGAATTTGGCAGCCTAGTCAGGTGACTTATCTACCCCTTACCCAAATCTTTTTAGTAGCAGGAGGACTATTAATTTCTAGATTAATATAGGTTTATTGTAATAAATTTCTACTATGACATTATATTAATAAAAAAAAAAAAAAAAAAAATCTATTAATTGAGTTAATACAATCGAATATATTAATATCTAAAATGCTTATATTTATAGAACTATGCATATACTATGCATATTATTGAATATTAAGGTTATTTAACTTATCCAATATCTTATAAAGAGTAAGTACTATATAATTATCCTCTTTACAATCACTATTTTGCTTATAACAAACAGTATAATTATAGAGATGGTTAACTATATATTTAAACATTATTACATATTTGCATAAATAAAAGTAAATATTTGATGGATCCATATTATTCACTAACAATTAGGGCTTTAACTACAATAGTATTTTATCAGCTATTTATTGTATTGATTCTTATTGTTTAAGATTCCAGAAATTAAATATTTATTTTGCAATTATAGCAAATTAAATTCTATATATTTAGTTTATTATAGATAAGAATAATACTTTAAATGGCTAGCAATTATTATATGTATTAGTTTAGATCCTGTTAACAATCACTTCAAAACATCTTATTTCGACAGTTAGTTCACAAATAAGTTTATTTTATAAATAATTATGAATCTGAATTAATTATCTATAAAATAGACTTTTTTGTAATCTAACTATTTGTAAATAAGCACAGGTTGAATCAATAAATATCAGATGCATACTGGGAGATGGGTTTTCTGTTTGTACCCAATAGTCTGCCATAAATCTGTTGAATATCAGCAGCATATTGGCAGAATATTGGTAAGATATCGAAAGATAGATCAATATCAGCAAAATAAAAGCAAAATATTGGAATATCCTAATATTTTACTTTTAGACCCAGAGTGTTAAGAGCAAATATTAGAGTATTCTAATATTGTGCTGTTATGTTACTGATATCGATCTATCTCCTGATATCTTACCAATATTCTGCTAATATGCTGCTGATATTCAGCAGGTATTTGGCGGATCTATAGTATATAACAGAAAACTTGTCTCCTGGTATACACCTAATATTTATTGATTCAACCTGTAAAGTTTTCTATAGATTATAACAACTTATAGAATTTCTTTTCACTAGCAAAGTAATTATAGCCATAGATTTTAAAATGAGTAAAATAAGCTAATAATTTGAAGTGATATAGCATACAAACCACGCTAGCATGGAGTAGTTTATACTCCTAATTTACTCTGAAATATAATACTAATCAACATAATAAAAAGAAAATAATAACTTACTTAAGTTTTCAAGCATTAAATTAGAATAAATAGCTTATCTTAATTATTATTGACTAAGTTAAGGGAAGTTGTCAACAAAGTAATTAGCAAAATAATAAGGTATATATTTGCTAAGAACTAAGTTGATAATAAATATTAATCATTAAAGTAGACGAATTAGCTTTAGTAATTCAGTATAATATGGCCATTTATGCTGACAACCAGATTAATTGGCTATACTGGTTACTTAGTTTATTAGAAATGGTCCAGTTTACCTGGTAATAAGTGGGTAGTTTTATATTAATATATATACAATGCATATATGTAATTACTTATATGCTTCTATATAGTGGTTTATAAATATATTCTTTATCTTATTTATTTTATTGTAATTTTATAGAGGAATAATATATAATTTATTTATTTTTAAATTGTATATTTAATATATATATATAATATATATCATGACTTTATATACATATTATTCAAGATCTTGAACTAATTCTTTTAAATTAAATTCATGATCTTTATTCATAGCAACATCAAAATTAATATTGTCTTCATTAGAGACATACAAATCCCCTACTTAATTAAATACTTGATGATGCAAATTTACAATATTATTAATAAGAACTACTACATAATGATTAGGAATTGCTAAATTATCATCTAATTCTTTATTATTCTTATCTTCATAGTTTTCATTTACATTATTTTCATTCTTAGATGCCTCAAACAAATAAAACTTTTGAATCATTACAACTAATTTATCTTCAGTTTTATTTTTCACATTATGATAGCTCTTTACACATATTAAGTAAATTATAATATCAAATTTTAGTAAGTGATTCTAAATTTTTTAAACCCAATCATTGTCTTTTTTTACTATAAAACCAACCCTAAATAGAAAAAATGCATTCACATCATGCACTATATGGAGTTATTACAAAAATTTTTTTGGCCAAAATTTTAAAGTTATCAAACTTATCTTCAATAAAGCTCTACTATATAAAAGATATTATCACTTGGCTATTATATTCAACTTTGTACAAAAATTCTTTTTCTTTAAATTTGATAATTTGGGCAATAAGTGTTTGTACAGATAATTTATCTTTATATCCCACTGGCTGCCATAACTGTGCAGCATAAAGGGTAATTTGTATACGTGGGTTGATTTATAAGTCTTGTTATAAGGTAAATATCTCAATCAGTTTTAATTCTATAATTTTAAAAATTATATCTATAAATATAATGATTATAATCTAT